GCTTCCTCTATGAGGAAGCCATAACAATGGAAGCAATGTGCAAATTTCTAATTAGAAAAAAAGTAAAGTAAAGTAAAGTGTGCAAATTAGAAATTTGCACATGGCTTCCTCATAAAGGAAGCTTTAAGAGCGAAATAAGAATATGCAAATTTCTAATTTGAATACTTTCAAGAAACATCGTAGTAAAGTTAGATTTCTCTCTTAAAGCTTCCTCTATGAGGAAGCCATAACAATGGAAGCAATGTGCAAATTTCTAATTTGCCTACTTTAATGATAAGGAAGAAATGTGCAAATTTCCAATTTGCACGCTTCAATGCTGAAGAAGCAATTTGCAAATTTCTAATTTGCACTTTCAAGAAACATCGAAAAAAATTAGATTTCGCTCATAAAGCTTCCTCCATGAGGAAGCCATGTGCAAATTTCTAATTTGCACACTTTACTTTACTTTCTTTCTAATTATATATTATATTGTTCTTCAATTTTTTTACTCTTCTTTATGAAAACTATTCGGCTCTTAAAAATTTCAGTAGTGTCTGAGATGAGACTAATCTAATTGAAAACTGTCACGCTTTACTTGCGAGTGCGGCTATTTGATGGCGTCACAAATTTTATTTCACGAGAAACCAAGACAATCTTTAGCGAATTTCATGAAATAACTTGCAATGTTTATTTATGTGTTTTTAATAAATGCGGACTAACTTATGTGAACACGTAATTAAAATTCTCATTAAACTCGTAGCCAAGATAATTTTCACACAAATACATACAACGATACAGTTTTACACACCGTTCACGCTTCGTAAAATTAAGAGAAAATTTGAAAAAGTATAATAGCTCTCTCTCTCTCTCTCTCTCTCTCTCTCTCTCTCTCTCTCTCTCTCTCTCTCCCTCCCCCTCCCCCTCTTTCTCTCTGTGTGTGTGTGTGTGTGTGTGTGTGATTTCTTTCAAAGTAAGTAGTTACTCAAATCGAATTATTACTTAAAAATATCAAAATCTACACTAAAGAGAAAGGAGTTGAAAACATTTTTTTTATTGAACTGCCTGCTGGCTGTCAGTAAATATTTAATTTACAAAAATATTTGTCAACTCAAAGAAATGTACGTTATGACGAATATTTTACTTAAACTAGAACAACACAAGCGCGCGCTTCGCGCGCGCCATTGTTCTTCCACATTATATTAGAAGATTAAAATATTATATTGCGCACGCCAATTAACATTATTCTTTTCTTTCTAGTTTTCTACCATTTTTACTAAATTTCACTTTTAGTCAATATCACTATCATTTTCATTCGTTCTACATATATCACGTTCCTTTTAAATAAATCTCAAAATCTGGCTTATTCAAAATTATTATCTCTTATCCTGATAATTTTTATTTATTTAACTTTGTGTTTACTATACACTTTTATCTTCAACTATTCTTTTGCATTTGACACTTTTATCTTCACCTATTCTTTTGCATTTGACACTTTTATTTTCAACTATTCTTTTGCATTTGATCCCATCCTATCATTGTCTCACATTTTTTATAACATATCAAAAAGTCTAGCTTATTCAATATAATTCTTTCTTATCTAGATAGGTTTTATTTATTTGATTTTATTTTTAATTTAGAGGAAAAATCAACTATGTATATATTTATTTATACAGGGTGTCTGATGCAAAAGTAGCCAACTTGAAAATAGTGGTAGATTGGGTTAAACTAAGGAGAAATATCATGTGCCACGGTACAAAAGTAACAATAGTTATTGAGTAATTAATTTACACGTCTGAGCGAATGAGGATGCAGAATACGGTAGGCCGGACTCGGAAGGCATTTAAGAAAATCGATCGATGAGCGGGAGGTGGAGCGACGCGCGAGATTTTGGGTTTGTTTTCTGTTCCTGCACTGGTGAACTAGTGCAGTAAGCTAGAATGAGAAAAAATATGCTTGTCTTACTCCAATTTATTGCACTAGTTCACTAGTGTAGGAACAGAAAACAAGCCTACTATGTTTATGTTTCGGGTCGCCCGTCGCTCGCGCTCGCTGCCGCGCTCGCCGCCCGCGCCGCGCTCCCCGCCGCACCAAGGTTTTTTCCCACCACGGTGTATCTCCTGCATCCTCATTAGCTCAAACGTGTAAATTAATTACTCGATAACTATTGTTACTTTTGTACCGCGGCATATGACATTTCTCCTTAGTTTAACCCAATCTACCACTATTTTCAAGTTGGCTACTTTTGCATCAGACACCCTGTATACATAGT